AGAAAGATGGGAATAATCTACCACAATATTCAGCCATTCCTCTCTTGGGTATATACCCAAATAGGGCATGTACATACATCAAGGACATATGTTCAACCATGTTCATAGCAGCATTGTTTGTAATAGCCAGAACCTTGAAGCAACCTAGATGCCCCTCAACTGAAGAATGGATAGAGAAAATGTGGTACATTTATACAATGGAGTACTACTCAGCAGAAAAAAAGCAATGGAATCTTGAAATTCGCAGGCAAATGGATGGAACTAGAAGAAACCATCCTGAGTGAGGTAACCCAGTCACAAAAAGACAAACATGGTATGTACTCACTGATATATGAATTTTAGACATAGAGCAAAGGATTACCAACCTATAATCCTCTTCACCAAGGAAACTAGGAAACATGAAGGACTCTACGGGAAAAATACATGGACCCCAGGAAAGGGAAGGGGCAGGAACTCCTGAGCTAATTGGGAGCATTGGGTAGGGGAGAGGGAGCTGCCAGAATGCGAGGAGGAGAAGAGGAGAGGAGATGAAGAAATAGAGGAGCAGAAATATTGAGTTGGGGGAAGAATAAAGGAGAGCAGGATGAGAGATACCATATTAGAGGGAACCATTATAGGTCCGAGGAGAGATCTGGCACTAGGGAGATTTCCAGACAACTTCAAGGATGACATGAACTGACAATCTAGGCAATGGTGGAGAGCATAACCTAAACACCCTTCCCCATTGATGTGACTGATGACTACTTTTTATGCCGTCCTAGAGCCCTCATCCAGTGGCTGATGGAAGCAGAGACAGACACCCACAGGTGTACACTGAACTGAACTTGGAACTTTGTTGCAGAGAGTGAGGATTGAAGATCAAACAGGTCAGTATCAGCCTGTTGAAACCCACAGAAACAGCTGGCCTGAACAAGTGGGAGCACATCGACCCCAGATGCTGTCTGGGAGGCCAGCACCGCACTGAATCAGACCCCTGAACGTGGATGTCAATGAGGAGGCCTCCGCACTCTATGGGCCCCCTGGTGGTGGATTAGTATTTTTCCCTGGTGTATGAAGGGACTTTGAGAGCCCATCCCATGTGAAGGGATGCACTCTCGGCCTGGACCCATGGGGGAAGGCCTAGGCCCAGCCCAGGATGATGTGGTGGACTTTGGGTAGCCCCTGTTGAGGGCCCTCCCCTGCCTGTGGAGTGGATGGTGGATGGGGTGGGGGGTCGGTTGGGGGAAGAGGGAGGGGTGGGGGAGGGGAGGGAGAGGGAGAAGGGATTTACATGTGAAACAAGCTTATTCCTAATATGAACTAATAAAAAATTACCAAAAAAAGTATATAAATTAATTATGGTTGGTAATTGAGACTGAGTTAGCAAATAGGAGGTACTAGTCATTGGCCAGCAGCATTGTACTTAATATTAAATCTCTGTGTTATTTTGGGTGCCCAAGTGGTGGCGGAGCTGGGGTGGCTGGCAGAAAGATTTATCATTACACTCCTCAATTAAACATTTTCTTTGTAAGAATTGCCATGGTCATGGTGTCTCTTCACAGCAATTAAAACCCTAAGACAGTCACCAAACACAGCAATTTTTATTTTTAATTGTATGTGTACATGACTGTAGGTGCTTGTGGAGGTCAGAAGAGGGTGTCAGTCCCCTGGAACTGGAGTTACAGATGTCTGTGAGCCACCATGTATACTGAGAACCAAAGTCAGATCCTCTGCAAGAATAGCCAGTGCTCTTAACCTCAGAGCCATCCCCCAAGCCCACAGAACAGATCTTTTTTTCCCTTTTCAGTTTTTCAAGACAGATCTCCCTGTATAGAGCCTTGGCTGTCCTGGACCTCACTCTGGAGACCTGACTGGACTCGAACTCACAGAGATCTGCCTGCCTCTGCCTCCCTAGTGCTGGGGTTAAGGTGTGTGCCACCACAGCCCTGCTCAAAAGAGCAGACTCTTTTGTTTTGTTTTTTTATATTTTATTGTATTCATTTTACATACCCCCACAGTTCCCCTTCCCTCCCCCTCCCCATCCCCTGATTCGGGATCATGCTCGTGTTCACTGTTAAGATTTGTCACTGATACTGGTTTAATAAAATGCTGATTGGCCAGTAGCCAGACAGGAAGTATAGTTGGGAGTACCAGACAAGGAGAATTCTGGGACGGTGAAGGCAGAGAGTGAGTCGCCAGCTAGACACAGAGGAAGCAAGATGAGAATGCCTCACTGAGAAAAGGTACCAATCCATGTGGCTAAACACAGATAAGAATTATAAGTTTAAGTTGTAAGATAGTAATAAGCCCAAGTATAGGCCAAACAGCTTATAATTAGTATAAGCCTCTGTATGTTTATTTGGGACTGAATGGCTGCAGGAGGGGACAGGACAGAGACTTCCATCTACACACACCCCAAACCACCCCCATCCACTCCTTAGAAATGGTAAGGCCTCCCATGGGAAGTCAACAAAGCCTGGCACATTCAGTTGAGGCAGGACCGAGCGCCTCCCCTCCCCATCAAGGCTGAGCAAGGCATCCCACCATAGGGAATGAGCTTCAAAAGCTAGCTCATGCACCAGGGATGATAGTTTCTGGTTCCACTGCCAGGAGTCCCACTGTTGCTCTTTGCTGCAGCCTCGGGTGATGAAACACGATCCACCAAATTCAACAAACCCACAAGGAGTTTACTAAGAAAGGGAGCAAAGGGAGGGGTGGTGTTAACAGATCAGGAGCAGGACTGGAAAGAGAAAGAACAGGTGGGAGGCGCTTGCTTAAAAAGGGAAAGGGAGCAGGTTAGAACAAGTTTCAGCAGTTGGGGCCATCTAAACTGGAGTCATGAAGCTGCCACTGGCCCAGCTCCATGTGGCCTCTGCATGCAGAGTCCTTATGTAGCCACTTAATGGATACATTGAGCTGTCAGGGAGGAGAGATCACCTGTCAAAGATAGATCCAGGGGCAAGGAGAAGAGTGATCCTGGGGCTGGAGAGAACCCGAGGATTAGAGAGGCCCCACAACCAGAAAAGGTTCCCTACGAGGAAGGCACAGGCCCAGGAGAGGGCTGGCTCAGAGTGAAAGGTGGGTGTTGAGGAGAAATCATCAGGAGTGGGAGAAGGAGAGGAGTCAGAAGCAGAAACAGGGCCAGATTGCCCAGGACCTGGGGAGAGGGAAAAGCCAGGATATCAAACAGACCAGGCTACACAACTGTCACACATATGCCAAGGGCCTGGCTTGATCCCAAGCAGGCTCCCTACCTGTCAGGCTAGTGTCTGTGAGCTCCCACAAGTTTGGTTCAACTGTCTCTGTGGGTTTCCCCATCATGATCTTGACCCCCCTCCCTCCCTTGCTCACATAATCCCTCTTCCCTCTCTTCTACTGGACTCCCATACCTAGGCCTGGTGCTTGGATGTGGATCTTTGCATCTGTTTCCACCAGTCACTAGATGAAGGCTCTGTGATGACAGATAGGTAGTCACCAATCTGATTATAGGAGAGGCCAGTTCAGGAACCCTCTCCACTATTGCTAGCGGTCTTATCTGGAATCATGATTGTGGGTTCCTGGGAATTTCCATAGCATCAGGTTTCTCCCTACCCCCACAATGGCTCCCTCTTCAAGATATTGGCTTTTCTTGCAGAGAAGACTCTGAAAGAATTATCTAGATCAGAATGAAAGGTAGCCTTGATTGTTGGTTGCCCCAGCCCCCTGTGGGCAGCACCTCCCCTAGACAGGGGCCTGAACTGTGTACGAAGGAAGGAAACTAGTGTTGTTCTTTGCTGCAGCTTCCCTCGATGAAACACAATCCACCAAACTCAACAAACCAACAAGGAGTTTGTTGGGAAAGGGAGCAAAGGGCGGGGTAGGTGTTAACCAGCTGGGAGCAGAAATGGAAAGGAAAAAACAGGAAGGAGGTACTTGCTTATACAGGGAACAGGAGCCGTTTAGAGCTCAGCAGTTGGGGCTGTTGAAACTGGAGCCATCGAGCTGCCATTGGCCCAGCTCCACATGGCCCCATTCCACATGGTTTCTGCATGGAGAGTCCTTATGCAACCATCTAGCACATGCATGACACAGCCATGCAAACTTTGACAGCTTTTGAACTGTCGTTGAGGAGATGGATCCCAGGGATCCCAGGGAAGGTAGCCCGGAGAAGAGTGATCCTGGGGCTGGGGAGGGGGGGGGACAAGGATTAGAGAGGTCCTGCAACCAAGAAAGGCTCCCTAAGGAGAAGGCCCAGGCCCAGGAGATGGCTGGCACACAGCGACAGGCGGGAGCTAAGGAAAAACCATGGCGCGGGAAGAGGAGTAGGAACAGGGCCAGGTTGCCCAGGACATGGAGAGAGGAAGAAGTCAGGATACCAACTACCCAGGATGAACAAGCCGGCAGCATGGACCACATCGCCTTCTCAAAGTTGTTGTGATGTGGCAGCAAGGTTTCTGCTTTGATTTCTCTGAAACCACAGACCATAACCAACAACTGTGAGCCAGTGTAACCTGTCACTTACTTTTCCACACAGCAGCAGGCAGACGAGGATACTTCCTCTCTGCATTGCTTCTCCAGGATGACAAGGCCTGCTGATGCGGTGAAATGTTCTAGAGTAACTTCTGCCCTCCCACACACTCATTTCCTTCCCACCTTGGAAGCTTACTATCTGCCCAGCAGAATGGATGGAGTCCAACCACACCTGGAGAGGGAGACACAGATTCGAGAGCGGGGGCGCCAGACACTGCTGCAGATCACATCCTCAGTCCTGAGGCTGCAGCTGTCCCTGCCCCACCCAGGAAAACAAGCAGCTGCATCCCCAGAACTGGTACCCTGAGCCAAGCCACCACCCCAAAGTTCTGCAAGGCATCTGAATCCGTGGCCAGGGTAGCCCTGAGCTCACAGGAAGCTCTACATACAAAAGGACAAGGCCCACTGGGGACTGTCCCCAAATGCAGGTGAAATGATGAGGCAGGGAAGGGAGACAGCACCACAGGCTCCACACTGGACCCACACTCACAGCACGGAGACAGTGCAACAACTTTCCGGCTTTGAGTTTTATTTCTTTGCTCTATGAGTCCTAACTGAAGGTGACAGTAAACACATTATACAGTTAGCCTGGCTTTCAACTTCTGACCCTCCTGCCAGAATCACAGGCTGCCCCACCAGTGCAAGCTACCTAAAACCTTTTCTAAGGAAGTTGACAAGCAGAGACAGCTAGCCCCTTTCTAAGGACACCGAAACACAAGCCCAAGGTTTCGTTGTATTGAGATGGAATTCCACTGAGCAACTCCAGCTGGCAGGGCTGGAGTCCCTCTACTGACCCCTCAACCCATTGCACCCCCAAAGCCTCCTGCATGCTAAGCCAGCACTCAGACATCCCAGGCCCTCAGGGCTCTACACCCTTGCGAATGATTAATTCTCCTTTTGCCAGCTCCACAGTGACATCAAGAATTTGAGATAGAGGCAAGCATGGTGGCACACACCTTTAATCACAGCACTTGGGAGGCAGAAGCAGGCAAAACTCTGAGTTCCTGGTCTACAGAGTGAGTTCCAGGACAGCCAAGGTTACACAGAAAAACCCTATATCAAAAAAAAAAAAAAAAGCAAAAAACACAAAAACAACAAATTTTGAGCAGGGAACCTGGTTCCTGGCCCACAACCAGACCTTGGCTAGCACTTGAATGAAGCAGAGTGGTTGCCATTTGGAGCAGCCAGGAGTATGGAGGGCCTGGGCGTGGCTTCTGGAGGGTGTGGCTCTCAATGTGTGAATCCAGATACAAGCCAACAGGGCTGCCCCAGGTTCACAGCTTCTAAGTAGGATTTATAGGCAACAAACTTTCTCGTGGCTTGGGGTTAAGTGGGTCTGGCTTATGGTAGGCTTGGTATGGATGGGCGTGATCTATTGTAAGTGTACTTCCAGGGCGCGACCTTTGCCGGGGCAGTGCTGTCATCTGGTAGCTCTGCAGATGTAATCTTCCTCAGCGGGGCTTCCAGGGGACGTGGCCCCAGATAGGTGTCGGCCCTCCAGGGAGGAGAGCAGGGTTTCCCGGGCATCCTGGGGGGGGGGGTTCCAAGGAGGCTGATTAGCACCCTACAACACACACCGTGTCCCCACAGCAACGACCCAACCCCAAGTGTCACCCGGAGCCCAGGCTGAGAGGTCCTGCCCCGGCATACTGCAGGCGCCTAATGGGTGTTGGTGGGGTGAATGGGTACCTGGTGAGGTTCCAGCAGGGTGACAGGCCATTCCGGGGATCCTCCTGGGTGGGGCTGAAGGGTAGACAGCAGGAGGAACTTCCTGGTGTGCCCACAGATCCTGCTGCTCATGGAGGAGACAGCCCCTTGGTGATGGAGAAGAAGGAGAACCAGGTAGGCAGGCCACATCTTCATGCTGGCAGGATGCTTAGAGACCAAGGGGCTAGACACAGCACAGGGTTGTGGAGGGGGCAGATCTGGTGACACTGCACACACACACACACACACACCAGTCAGACCAAGCCCTTCAGCCTCACTTGATCTTAGATGTGCTCCCAAGACCTTGAGCACCTACAGGCACCCAGCCTGTGGACACCCACGGGGGAAGGATTGTCACCATCAAATACACACAGAGGCCTCTAAGCAAATACAAATATATGTCTGTCAATTTCCAGTCTCACTGAGAAACCCAGGCTGGCCTCCAGCTTAGCAATCTTCCTGCCCCACACTCCCAAAGGTGGTGGTGGGCCACTGCCAGCATGCCTGGCCTGGTCTCTTTCCCAAGCTCTCCTTGCATCAAAAGACAAGACAAGGAGACAAAGTAGAACATTCTAGAGAACCTTCTGCTCCCTCAACAACTGGTTTACCACACTGGGAAGCACTGGGACACACCATCACTCACAGATTTAAGCACACACATACACATACACACTCACACACACACTCTGCTTTTGAAGCCGGAGCAGGGGGCACAGTCAGGGACCTGTCCCTGGGATGCTCAGACACCCCGATGGCTCAGCTGCATCCTCAGCACTCAGCCTCGGGCCTGGATGTCCTGAGGTCTCAGCTCTCGTTCCCCCTCAGCCAGAAAGACTTGCAAGGCCCGATGTAGCAGGTACACTCCCAAACGTCGGCGCCGTGTGGGTGGCCAGTAGGCCACCTCTCCATAGTAGTGCCCCTGTTTCTGGTTGGTCAGTGTCTGGATCCCTGAACAGATTAGAGAAGAAGTCACAGGAGTGGCTTCCACTCCACCCCCTCCACCACAACAACCGGCACAGAATATATGTATACACACACTCGTGTGCCAGGCATTGGTACTCAGTGACTCCCCACTGCGTGTGTAGATTAATGGATGAACAGTAAGGAAAAGAAGTGGTGAGAGAATTCCCAGTTCAAACACTTTTCCTGTGACCTCGGCCCTAGAATCCAGACCCCTACCTAGGGCATCCAACAGACAGGCCTCCCGAGTGTATGCCTCCACGGCTACGGCGTGCTGGAAGCAATGTAGGGAGATAACACCACGGCCGCTGTCCCAGATGGCTAAGATCCGCTGTATCTTGGGACAAGCCTGGGGGGCATAAAGAAGTCAGAGGCTGGATCCTAAGCCATGGCCCTCTGACTTTCTGAAGGACAGCTGACCCTGCCCAGCCCTGCCCTTTGTCCCCACCTTTTTGCCTGGCCACTCACGGTAACCAAGGGCTTCCCAGAGGTGGGCATCTGGCCGGGCACGGGTCCCCTTGCCCACGTAGAAGATGGCTCGCACAAAACTTTGCAGACACTCGGCCAGTGTGAGGGAGGAGGCTCGGGCAGGCAGGCCCTGCGTCTGCCTGGGACACAGAGCAGCTCAGAGGGTAAAGGATCCTGGCGCCACCACCCCAGACGGCCTGAGTCCCATCTCTGGGACCCACATGATGGAAGGAGAAAATCACCTCCCACCAGTTGGCCTCTGACCTCCACAAGGGCACCACAGTAAGTGTGCGAGTGCCACGCACATACAGACACAGGCACAGAACATAAAAGGGTAGGGCAGGGAGGATGGCTCAGAGAAGGAAAAATGACCACTGTCTTCAGAGCCATGGGGCCATTTGAACCCAAATCCAGGGGCCCCTATTTTATAAGCGGGAATTGACTCGGGCCGATTAACAGAGAGGGCTAGCCCCTTCCCTAGGGACACACAGCAAATCAAAAACAAATCCCCACCCTCTGTAGCGGTTTGCTTTGATGTTTTGAAACAATCTCCCAGGCCTCGGGCTTCGGTATGGAGCCCGGCTACTGCTCTGCCGAGCTTGGCTCTAAGCCCAAACCCCAGCTTTTTGGTCACCCTCATACCTGGGGTCCAGAAGAAGATATGTAAAGCTTGACTTTGTGACACCTTCCCGCCACCTCTTCGCAGGATCCAGCCGCTGAAAGTGCTGAGCCAGGGCGGCCTCATCCGCCTGACAGTCAGGGACGTGGCCGGTCTTCAGCGCCTCGGCCAGTTCTGGGCTGTGCCCTGGAACAGTTGGGAAGGAGAAACCAAGTCAGGACCGAGGAGAGCGGCTGGTGAGGGTGGTAGGACCCGGAGCCAGGTCACTGGATTCCAGGAGTACTGCCACGGTACTCACCTAGGCTAGCCTGGGCTTCCTGCAGCCGCCGCAGGTAGTATCCACGGGTGAAAGGCGTGACTGGGCCAGGACTGTGGCCCAGTGCCCGGAGGGCCTGGAGCAACTGTAGGTCAGACATGGGGGACACTGGGCCCTGTGGGTGCAAGGCCCCTGGGTCCCTGTCACCCGGCTGGGAGGGGACGTTGGTGGCCTCTCTGGTCAACGTCAGAGCCTGCAGCTGGCAGCTCAGTGCCCCGTCCCCAGCCGCCTTGGCCCCACGGGACAGCCACGGGTCAGCTGCGGACCCTGGTGTCCCCGCAGGGTGCTGGGGCTGTGGAGAGTCCTCCAAAGCGGTGACAAAGGAGGTGTCGCTGCTGCAGTCCGGGCTCCTGGTGGCCTCCGAGCTACAGAGCTCTAGGGGCTTTACTGGCACCTCCCCTGCAGCTGCCAGCTTAGCTGGGGACATGTGCTGTTCCGAGGCCAGTGACACATGCGGAGGTGTAGTGAGACCAGGAGACCCCGCAAAGACGCGTCCTCGGCACATGGCGTGTTCAAGGTCTGCTGGGGCTACAAGAACAGGTGATAAGATGATTGAGGGATGACAGACAGGCTGTGGAATTGGCCCCAGCACGGTGCACCCCCACGGCTCTGCTCACCGGCGGGTTCCCGGGCTCCAGGGGGCCCGTCCAGCTCCCGCAGCACGCGTGCACAGTTGTGGTGTCGCTGCTGAAGCGCCCAGTCCAGGGGTCGGAGCCCGTCCTGTGCAGACACGGTCAGCAGGGGGCGCCCTCGGTGTGCCCTCCCGCCGCCCTGTGCGCCCGCGCAGGGTCCTGACCTGGTCTCTCAGCGTGGGGTCGCCCCCTCCGCTCAGCAGCAGCTCCAGGGCGCCACGACAGCCCCACGCTGCGGCCACGTGCACCGGCGTGAGCGCCTCCGCGGACCTGGGGCGCCGGGAGGGAGCAGGGATGTTTCCTTTCCCAAGCAGCCTCGGGTGGCCCAGGCTGGCCGCGAACTCTGCCCCTTGTGCCTCTGCCCCCTCCCTGTGCTGAGCGGAAGATGGGTGCCCACTGCCACGGTC